GTTACCCAGCTGATCTGGGCCCCAAGGTCTCGGAAGTACAGTGTGGCTGTGGTGCCCACGGGCAGCTTCTGCAGGACATCCTCATCCTTCAGGGACTTGCCCTCTGCGGAGAAATACGTGGCTCGGGGTGGCCCATTCCTCACCTCCACCCTCCCAAGCCCTCACTGGGCAGCTGTACTTACTGGGGTCCAGGCGAAGGGACTGGCGGGCAGGATACCACTGTGGATCTGTGGGGAACAAAAGTCGGTCACCACCATGCCAGCGTGGCCGTAACCAGGCCTCCCCAACAGCCCTGTGCCCACCCTACCATGACTTTAAGATGTCTGTCTGTCCCCCCACCTTCAAGGATCCTGGGATTCACAGGCCCTTAGCTCCACTGCCCCAACAGTTCTAGGGAAGGCTTCAGGCCTGTGTGGTCCCCAGATGTCCACAGGGAGCAGGAAGCAGGATCTTGTCCATCTAGAAGCCTAGCAAAGGCGTTCTTACTGATGGCGGGGGGAGGGGGGGCTCAGGGGCAGCTCCACAGGCCCCCGGGAGAGGTCAGCCCTGAGGCCCCAACTTACGACTCTTGGTGAAAAGGTTTTTGATCTCGGCGATAGTGGCATGGGGTTCCACCTGGGGGAGCAGAGGCCGCAGGGCAGTCAGCAGGGGAGGCCCACATGGTCCCTTGTCCACATGGTCAGCGCCTGGGCCAAGACCAAGGCAGAGCAGCAACTCCTTCCCCATGACCAGAGCAGCGAGGGCCCTGGCACAGGACGAGTGTGGCTGCGGAGCCTGGGGCTCCAGTCTTACCCTGGTGGGGACACTCCCAGCCCAGCGCGAGACTGAGCAGTTTGAGGAAGCTGGGCCCTTGACCTCCCTTCTGTCCTCCCTGCTCCACCAACGCCCTAAGGGAAGCCTTGGCCCGGGCCAGGCAGCCCCGGGAGAGTCCAAGCCCCTTCCTCAGACCTGGCCTTGGCAATCCGACCAGGCCCAGAGCACTGCAGGGCCCACTGTGGCTGCTTGCCGCCACTGGCCGCTCGGACAGCAGAGGGCTGCTGCTACCAGGAGCGGCCTGCTGTCTGGGCAGCACCTCATGCTCCCTCCACGGGGGTGGGGGCACTGAGGGGCCTGGATGACACTCCGGGAATCCCTCGGACCAGCCAAAACCACTGGAAGGAGCTGGGCTGGGGCAGTTCCCTGCTCCCAGTCTTACCTTGTCCAGGAAGCAGAGTTTCTCCCTGGTCTTCGCATCCAGAATCTCCACCTCAAAGAAGAGAACAGCCTTTTTAGGTTTCTTGGTCACCTTGGGGGGTGCCGGCCGGGGGAAAGGGTCAAGGCCCAGGACAAGGCCTGGGGTGGCCTCTCGGGCCACTAGGTTCAAGCTCATGTCCATGCCACCCTCAGCACCAGCCACCGGCTCTGCCAACTCCACACCCACCGCGGCCAGTGGCCTTGCTGCCAGGCGTCAGCCCCCAACACAGACCTCCCCTCTGGAAGCTGCTCTGGGCCGGCCGGCCGATCAAATTCTGCCGCGGCACTGGAAGGGAGCCCGTGCCACCCTGTGCGGCCGGCTTCTCTGCCAGATGTAACCCGAGTGGCACCACAGCCATGCCCAGCTAAATATAAAACCAGCCCAGACCAAGCCCCAGGGGGCTGTGCTACAGACTTCTTCTGGGGGGTTGTATGGGGGCTGGGCCACCCAGAGAGAGAAGCTTCCCAGTAGGGATGGCCTCCCAACAGACCAGAGGCCTAGGGAATCCCCAGCCAGGCACCGAAGGGCCACTCAGGGCAAGGAAGATGGGGTAAGGCCAGAGGAGGCGTTCACTGGGCCGGGAGAAACCCCAGCTATTTTGAGAATCTGAGAGATAGATCATCCGTTTCCCCTCCTGAGCTTTAAGAGCCACTCTGGATTATTTCCCTTGTGCATTTGTGTTCCCAGGGAGGTGACAGATTCCAGGGTTATTGGTGCAGAGCACTCTAGCTAAGCATGAAATGGGTCAAGACACTGGGGGGAGCTTGAGGCAACTGCCCCCAGCAAGGGTATCGAGGTCTCCAGAGGCTTCAGGTCCTGCACTGTGACCAGCCAGCTCAGCACAAGAAGCCACTCCATGCCTCATTCCCCAAGGCCACCCGGGTCCAGTTCAGGGCCACCTCCAGGGGCTGTTTTACTAGCATGTGAGCCCACTGCACCCATCTCCAGGGTGGAACTTTGCAGAAGCCCAATTCCCAGGCCACAGCTCCCGCTGACCTCGCAGGCCAAGGGACCTAGGGGCATGTGGCCCACTTGTCCCAAAGGCACCAGACACAAGCAGTTAAAGGGTCTGAGCTGCTGGAGATGACACTTATACAGACCCCTAGTGGCCGCGTGTCCACCGGGTCCCTGTCAGATGGCACACAGGCAGGCCTGGAATGCTCTCGCATCAGCCACTACCCAACATTATCCCATGCACAGAGTCCCCTGGGGAGGCAGCGTGGGGACTGCTGCACGCAAGGGCATACACACACACACACACACAAAAAAAAAAAAAAAGACTGAGGACAGACAGAGCCAAGCAGACCTCACTGGTGGTGTCCGTTCAGTGAGAAGACCTGTTGGGACGCACTCTAGAGCTAGAGGCATCACGGCATCACCGCAACCCCCCCACAAGGTGGGGAGCACGGGCCCTGTCAGATCTGTCCCCCCGCATGCCACCAAGTCCCTGCCAGGGTGTGTGACCTGTCTGCCTGTCTGACCTGTCTGTCAGCAGCCCTAAAGCCAGCAAGTTAAGCACACAGAACAAGCCCCACCACCCAAGAAGCCCTTGCTCGAGACCACCACCTACCATCCCCCACTGGGGAGCCTGGGGCTCTGTCCAGCCAAGGGCCTTGGTGCTCAGTCCCTCTCAGCCACAGGGACAAACAAGGGCTGGGCAGAGAGCTGGCACATGGAGGTGAGAATCAGGGTCCCCTATGGGGACCTATGGGTGAGGGTAAGGGTACAACGGATAAGCCAGGAGGGGCTGGGACAATGAATGGGGCCCTGGGCAGGCAATGGACACTCGGCGCTGCAGGTCTATTAATAGGCCCTAGGCCCAGGTGGGCCGTACCCACATTCCCTCGGAGTCCATGCGGCCCACAGGCCGGCAGCACCAGCCTCCGCTGGGAGAGCAGCCTCGAGTTCCTGCTGAACCACTCAACAGCTTAAAATACAACTGCCCTGCCACCAGCTGCCAGGGGGAGGGCTGAAACCCTACCCTCTCCCCCGGCCCGACACAGGCCCCGGGCCCTGGAGGAGCGCAGCCACCACCGTCGAGGGGCAGCTGCTGGGAAGGGAAGCAGGAGGGCACTGCAGTGAGGGGTCGGGATGAGTCCGTGGCAGCACCCAGCCCTGTCTGAGGAGGAGTCACCTTTGGCTGAGAGGTAAGGCCGGCCAGCACCCAGGGACCCCAGCCTCCTCGTCCCGTCTGCTTCTTTGCTGCCTCTGCAGCCCAGGGCCTGTCACACTCTTCTCCCTTCTCCCAAGGCCCTGGGGCACTCAGGCCTGCCCTGGGTTTCTGCAACTTCCTACATGTCTATGATCACTTCCAAATCAAATCAGAAGAAGAGGTCCTGGGCCGCGGGGCAGGGAACTGCAGAGGGCCCCCCTCTTGCCCACCCTGAGGTGGAGGACCTCATGTGTGCTGCAGCCCGTCCCACTTGAAGAGGGCCAGTGTGGGGCAGGGGGAGCAGCAGGTTCAGACCCCATTCCTAGAAAGGAAGGAAGAGGGGAGAAAGGGGCAGGTGCTGTGGCTCCGATGGCCAGAGCCGGGGGCTGAGTGCTCTCGATAGAGGGGCTTGGTGAGGCAGGGGAATCTGCCTGCGGTCCAGGCACTGCCACAAGCAGGGGGTGTGGCCCGGCAGGCACAGAGGGGCACAATGGACAGACAGGACAAGGACACCCTGGACAGGGGCGCAGGCGGGTGGCTTGTGATGATAGTTCCACTAGCCGAGAAGGAATTCTCACCCCAAGGCCAGAGATTCCAGGGCCCGGCCAACAGCAACTCGTGGTAGCACAAGGTCAGGGCACAGCCCTTATGAGGCAGGGAGTGGGGGTGCGTATCGCTCACCCTACAGGAAGGGTTTAGGGCCAGGCTGTGGCCCCCCCCACCTACAGACAGGCACCTACACCCACAGCAGATGTACTGAGGGACAAGCCGTCCAGGGAAAAGCTCCCGAGATGGCCAATGGATGTGCCCTCTGCCTAGAATTAGAATGCTCTCCAGAAACCCACCTGGCTCCCCTCACCTCCTCCGCTTTTAGAAGTCCCACAGGGAGGTCTTTCTAACTCAAAAAGCAACTGCATCCCCTTTAGAGTGTCTGCTCCGGAGGAGGGCAGGGGTCTGAGCTCTCTTGGTGCCAGAATAAAGCTGGTTGTGGAGCTGTGCCCCGATCCCAGGGACGAGAGCCCAGGCTCCAGCTCTGCCCTCACCACGCCAAGGGCCCTGCTCACCTCATCCACCCACACGTCAGCCCCCAGAAGCCTCCCCCTGCCCAACCTGTGTGGCCTGGGATGGGCCTCTGCCACCCAGCCTGGCCCAACACGCACTCATGCCAGACCGACCCTCTTACCCTGGCATCCAGCTAGCCCTCATATTGGCCAACCAGGCTCCAGGGGCTGTTTCCCCAGAAACTGGACCTCCCACACTGGCAACCCCTACTCCTGGAGGGGTTCCATACTGATGGCCTAACACAGCGGAGGTTCCAAGGCAGCACCCCAAATCCCACGGCTGTCTTAGAGGAGGGTGAGGGTATCAAGGCCAACGGGAGGGCCCACCTTGTGAGCTGCACCCACACTCCCAATCCTCTGAGGTCAAAAGTCTTACCTACTTCCTGGCTTTGTGGCCCCAGACAAGTTACCCAGCCGCTCTGGGCCTACCAAGCTCTCATCTGAGGGGTGACGGCATTACAGGAAGGCCTACAGGGGTGGACTGAGGTGTGTCGGAGATGGTGAGGACGGCACAGGACAGGGCAGCGTTCAGATCCACTGTCCACAGGGTCACTGTGCGTCTGCGTCAGCACACCAGCACCTACTGACTCCTCTCCCTGGTAGCACGGTCTGTAGAGCTAAGATAACGCATCACCCTGGCAGGCCTGGTTCTCAGTGGACTGGCAGTTATCAATGAGTGACCGACCCCTCAGTTATGTAATGATCTACACGGCAGGGACACCACGACGTGGTTAACCCTCATTCTGTGAGCTGAGGTGGGCATCCTCTATTTTTACATACGCCCATGTCAGCATAATGTGGTCGAGTATCTTCACAGAATAACAGTTAAACACAACTACTAGACGAATACTAGCCGAACAGCAAGGTGATCAAAGGCAAGGGGGGCTGGGCACCCCCACCTTCCGCTAACTCCTGACTGGACCCAGGAAGAGGAACCCATCTGCAGTGCAGTCACAGAGCTGGTGGAAGGAGGCCCACACAGGCGGGCCCACTGGGGGCATCTTGGGCTCTGCTGGCCTGCAGACGTGGGAGTGGACGGTTCAACCACCTCAATTGAAGAGTGGCCAATCAGCCAAGGGGAGGAAGACCCTCAATGAGATGGGTCGACGGTGGTGTCTGCGGCAATGGATTCAAGACGGGGCAGTTTTCAGATCTACACAAGGTCGCTATGAGTTGTACTCAACAAGGGCCTTAACAACAGGACCCACCAGTGGCTTGAGGCAGTGATGCTCTGCACGGCCCCCCTGTGACTACAGCCTCCACCCACAGCTGGACAGGCACCCCCAGCTGCCTGGCTCCCAGGGAAGACCCCATCTCAAGAGGCAGTAGAGGAAAGAACTGGGGTGCAGGGAGGGAGAGGGAGAAGGAACAGCACTAACCCCAGTCCGCCAAGGCCGGTGCCATAGCACTGTTCCTGACCACAGGTCACAAAACCAAGGCCTGCTTTCACGTGGCCTACCTTTTGGTCTGTGTGTTAGTTAGAGGACAGGAGAAGGGGAAAACAATAGTGGTTCTAATGTTGTCATTGTTGTGGAAGAAATACAGAGAATGAGGAGCTTGAAACAAAGTGGTCAGACGAGTTCCCTGAGAAGGAGACATCTAAAAAAGACTGGAAGGAACAAGCCATGTGCACATCAGGACAGCATTTCAGGCAAAGCAAGAGCCAGTGCAAAGGCCCTGAGGCTGCTCTGTGCCTGGTGTGTTAAGAGGAACATGAGGAGACTTGTGAGACAGAGGGTAGAGGGGCAGGAGGGGACAGAGCAGGCTGTGCAGGGCTCCTGGGCCATAGGAGCCACAGCGGGGAAAGAATGAGGGGAGGTCTCAGCAAAGGAGGGTGTCAGCAGCAGGAGGGCGAGTCTAGCAGGCAAGGCCAAGGTGATTTTGAGCTGAGTCTGCAACTCCTGCTTGACACCTGTTGGGACAGCTGGGCAGGCACTGCCCATAGGACCGGCCACTGGCAGCCAGGAGGAGGGCACTGCTCCAACCTCAGTTTCCCCATCCTGACAGTGTGGGCGGCCTGATTCTCCCTGAGCCTTGCTGCAGAGCCCGCGACATGAGGCCCAGCAGCCTCTGAGCCCAAGTTGAGGAGCACACGCAGGCTGGAGAAGCCAGCCTGGCTCTCAGACCGCTCTCACCCTGCTTATGCACTGAGAGTTTATATGCCTTGATGTGACCTGCCTGTGGCAAACACCACCAACAGCGGGCGAGAACTGAGGCAGACAATCACTGAATGCTTCCTGCTCAAGACAGAACTTTATGCACAATATGCCCCCCATCCCGTAGCCACAGAGGGTACAGAAGTGACAAGCCCAGGTCACAGGTGAGGATGGGGTGATGTCTACAGCACAGGAGTGTGCCCTAGAAGTAAACACGAGTCTAGACAAGGCATGGCCCTCTCACAGCACACACAAGCCTCGGTCCAAACTCCAAGAGCCCCATGAAGCACAGACACCACGTGGCAGACCCAGCTCTCCAGGCTGGCTCGGACCCCAGCGACAGACTGAATGGCCCTCTGAAGGGGCCATCTGTGAGGGGCCGCCTGACGTGACCAGCAGAGGCCTGCACAAGGCTGCAGAGAAACTGGAGCACTGTGGCACGCATCATCCTCCCCGGGGCTATGGCAGAAGCCTCTGGAAGGTCCTAGAGACCTGGCTGTGGGGGCAACCACAGACCCCTGGCCAAACGCTGAGGTCCTGAGGCTGGAATACCATTTGTCATGCAGAGGTCTGGCCACACTCGCCTGGACTCCAGCTCAGCACTTTAGCTGCCTTCCCTTCCACTTTCCAGAAATATCCAGTCACTCTGCCAACGCCAGGGCAGCTGAAAAGACCTTGGGTTCAGCAGCCAGGCAGCCAGCACAGGCCACACCTGCTCAGCCAGAAATACCTCCTTCCCCACAGTGGCAGCTCCCACTCCGGCCTCGTTTCTTCCTGCAGCCCAGGGCAGTGGCACCAGCCACCCACCAGCTCCCCACCCCATCCTCGGGTGCCTGGCTGGGAGCGGGATCTCACCAGCCCAGGGAAGCAGGGAACATGCTGAACACCTACACCCAGGTCCTCGGCCATCTGTTCCCATCCCATCCCCAGTAGCCAGATGAGGGGTCTGGAGGCAGGGGAGTTGGTACCAGATGTACCTGGAACTGTGTTCCTGCTTGTGCACAGCACAGCCTCGACCCAGCCTGGGGGTGTGTTCAGATGGCTGTGTGCACCCCAGATGAGTGCTGGGAGCACAGAAAGCCCAAAATGAGCAGCAGAATCCAGAGGGGTCAGGGTCTTATGACCCAGCTCTTCACACCCCACGTCCCACATCTCACCGCCTGGCCCCCGCCCACAGGAGCCTCCAGGGGGCGCTGGTCCTCTCTGAACACTGAGGGCCCGTCTGCTTCACACAGGCATTAATAGTAAGGTCTACCAGGAGCTGCCAAAAACAGTGCTAAGACTTTAACACTGCACCAACTCACCTAATCCTCACCCCCGCCTGGAAGCAGACTGCGATGCCAACAAGCAGCTCAGGAAACCTGGGCTGGGGCAACCGTGGCACAAGGCACCAAGCCAGGAAGGACCTAAGCCAGTGCCGACCCAGTCGGCTTGGGCCCAAAGTCCTACTCACAACCACGGTGTAATACCGCCTCCGTGTGAAGAGAAAGCATGCACTGAAATGCACGCACGGGCACACACACACCCGCCAGGGCACAATCATTAGGAAGGCAGCACACACGCGCGCACACACACACTCGAAACACACACACACCCTGAGCACAATCATAAGGAAGGCAACACACACACACAAGGCACAATCATCAAGACAGCCCCAGCTCACCCTCCAACTGCACGCGTGCTTGCGCACACGTGCACACACACACACGGGACAATCAAGAAGGCAGCCCTAGCTCACCCTCCAACTGCATGTGTACACACACACACACACACACACACACAGGGACAATCATCAGGAAGGCAGCCCCAGCTCACCCTCCAACTCCAGGCAGCGCACCTACGACCTACTGGCTTCTGCAGACTCCTAGAGGGAGTGAACAAGGAGAATGGCTCGCCTCCAACCTCACGGGGTCAGACAATGCCAGGAGAAAGGCCTGTCACTCCTTCCGCCACTGAGGACCTGGCAGTGGCCCCATCGCTCCTAGCATGATCTCTGGATATGCGTTTGGAAATCCTGTGCCCTGCAGGCGGGGTAGTGACCCAGGAGGCTGTGCACAAGGTTACAGAGTGGCCTGCTGGTCTCCTGAGCCTTGGCCCCTCCTCTGGGGTCCAACACAGGAGAACTGGGTGCAATGGCCAGGGAGGAGGTTAATCGACGGGGTCCCCCACACACCACGCATAGTCACAGCCCTTCAGGGAGGGTCCCACGTGCCTGGCCTCCAGTCTCCACACCACACCTCAATACCCTGTAAAATGGCACTCACCCCATTTTACAGATGTGGAAGTGGAGGGTCTATAAGCACTAGTAAAAGGACACACAGAGATGAGGGGTGGGGCCCTTAGAACTGCATGCCCATGGCTGGAGCAGGGAAGCAGAGGGGTCAAGAGGTGGAGAACAGCTTAGATCAGTCCCCCTGCATCCTCATACAGGGTCTTGCTGGTGACCTTGTCTGGGCCTTCCCCTCAGCTCCGGGCAGGAAGGCACTGTCTGTCAGAGCTGAAGATGCAGCGACACCGGCCTGTGGACACAAGCTGACCAGAAAAGCAAGCGCCTCAAGCCAGCGACCCACCTGGATCAGCACTCCTGCGTCCTGGAGGCAGGTCAGTCCCACCTGCGGGCTCAGCGGGCACACACTAGTCAGGGTCCACAGGGCCGCCAGGCAGCGAGGCCTGGAGGACTGGCCCCGGCAGGAAATACCTCATCCACTGCCATGAATCTATCTCCTCTGTGGATGAGGAATCCAAACTCATGCATCGAATCGCTCCACAAATGCTGACTGCACACCTACCCTGAGGCAGCAATGCTAAGGTGGGCCTCCAGGCAGGAAGGAGGCGCAGAATTTCCTGGCCATGAGAAGATGACATTGGGGGCAGGGGGCAGAGACAGTAACAGTAACTACAGAACCTTTATAAGCAACGTGTGCAATAGATATAAGACAGAAAAGTGGGGCAAGTGAAGCCTGTGTGGTTTTACATAAAGTTGACTTAAAGCTAAGCCCTGAATGGGGAGAAGAGACTCATGTGGCTAGGTGAGCATTCCAGGCAGAAGACGCACCTGTGCAAAGGCCCTGGGGTAGCGTCACACTTGCTACGCTCAAGCACAATAAGGCTGGAGCAGAGGGAAGGAAACATGACATGAGGCAGGGGGATCACATAGGGCCATGAGATCTGAGGGGAGGGCCTTAGCATCTCCTCTGAATAAGACATGGAAAATTCTAAACAGAGGAGGCGTGCACACCATCTCGGGTGATTCCAGGATCCCTCTGGCCTAGAAACAAGGGCGAAGGAGCTCAGTAAGGGGTTAGGGCAATAATTCGGTCAACAATAACAACTTCCACCATGGCCTGACAAACCATGGCCGACAGGTCAACTCCAGTCCACCATCTATTTTTATATGGTCAGCAAGTTAAGAATGGACATTTGTAAAGGGGGGGGGGGGAAGATTATTATTTCATGATGTAAAAATTCTATTCCCACCCGCACGCTCACAGTATTCCTAGCGCACAGCCATGATCCCTGGCTGACACACTGTCAGTGACTGCGGTCCAGCTCTGACGACAGATGAGTCACATCTGCATGTGGCACTGTGCAGGGCGTACACCAAGCCCTGGCTGAGGTGATGATGGCAGCACATGGAGCGGGGAGACTCCAGGTGCACAAAGGGGGCAGGGTTTGCTGACTTCTGGGCACAAAGTGTGAGAGAAAGGGCAGCCAGCTTGGGGCCTGGTGACCAGAAGGCTGCAGCTGCCACTAACTGGGGTACAGAAAGAGCAGGTTTAGGGACAAAGTCAGGGCTCAGCTTTGGGCATACTAAGTATGTACTTAATGAAAATTACATGCTATGGATCAGAAAGCTGGACAGTGACTAGGAATGATAGAGATTTGATGCCTTTGAGCTGTGGCGCTGGAGAAGAGTCTTGCATATACCATGGACTGCTAAGAGAACAAATAGGTTCATCCTGGAGAGGATGAAGCCAGGCTGCTCCTTTGGAATCAAGGATTCTGAAGCTCTGTCTGACATACTTTGGACATGGCTTATTGTCTACAGCAGGGACTACTCAAACAATACACTATCTCAAATTCTCCATGTGTCCCCAATAATTCTGCTATCATCCATACTTGTCCCAGAACAGAGATGTGCTCCCCTGGCTCCACCTTCCTGAGGCCGGGGCTGGGCAGCTCCACCCACCAGGCTCCAGGGTCACTTTCTTGAAGATTCCTTGAGGGAGACAAGCTTCTCTTCCTAAGAAACCTGGTAGCCCCAGGCCCATGGTAACCTCAAGTTTCAATTATTTCCTGATGTTTAAGAAGTCCCAGTACCCCCAAGTCAGCAGACCTACTGTGAAGACAGATCCGGTGGGCCCCACACACCTCACAGAAAAGAGATTACAGAAGGCCCGAGAAGGCGGCGTGGACCCCTGCAGTCTGCTGGGCTTCTGAAACTGGCATGGGCTCTGCTTACATAACAGCTGAGTTCAGATAGGGACAGGGACAGGCCTGGTGCCAGCCTGACAGTCACCCAGGGGCTCAGAGAGTGCCTGTATCCCTCAGAGGGCCAGGAAGGCATGTGGCCTCGTGCTGACGAGGACAGGGGCCCCTCTTTTCCCAGAAAGCCCAAATAGTAACCCCAACCTACTTAGAATTACAAATGTAAGAAAGTGAGGGGTCAAGAACTTCAAATAAATCCCCCTCTGAGGGTTAAAGTTTTAGGTAAAAAACAGAAAGAGGGTTTCTTGTGCCATCAGAATAAAGTCCTTCCCAACAGGCCAACTGTCATTCATTGGCTGTGTGGACACCTGAGTTGAAGAGGAGTCCTGGGGCGCAAACCAGCCTGGCCTCCAGGTCTTGGTGCACCCGACATGGCACTACCTCGGCCTGGCTCACATCCCCTGCACCTAACACCTCATCCTTCAGGCTGCAGCAGGAAACAGGCAGAGGCTGCAGGCTGCTCATCCCAGGTCCTGATGTTATGACAGGAACAGAGGAAAAACTGAGCTGACAGATGACGGATCAGAGACCAGAATAAGGGGAGGCCCAGGCGGAACTCCTAGACTGGCAGAACAGGCCAGCATCTGTGTAACAGAAGTGGCTGGACCTGTGCAGACCCGGCAGCAGTGTCTCAGTGTAGCCCAAGGTCGGGGAGAGCAGGGCATGGCAGCCACCAGGTGGCTGATGGCCACTCTAGGTCACCTTCACCAACACGGAGCCATACTCACCTGCCCCCCAATCACACGGAGGCATTCCTTCATCTACTTACTCCCCCAGCAGCACCTACTGTGCACGAGAAGGGAGCTGGGTGATGCAGCCCACAGCAAGACGAGCTGTTAACATTCTCTAACAATGCAAATCCTGAGGGAGAAACCTCCTTCCACGCCACCTACAACCTTGGAAACCCAATGGAGCGTCAGCCTCAAGCTGGTTCCAACAATGAGGAAGACTCATGAGGGAGACTGTATCAGGCACAGTGCCAGGTGCTGTGACAGCACCCCGGGGTCCTCCCCCACAGAGCATGTCATCTGACTGGGCAGAAAGAGCACCAAATATCCAACAGAGGCACCAGCTGGCCTGGGCTGGGCACCCTGGAGGGGACAGGCCTCACTGAGTGACCCCTAGTCAGGATTCAGTCAACGAAGGAAGTGAGTGTGTATGTGGAGTCAGGGTAGAGCCCCGGGGGCAGCAGGCTGGTGAGGGTCTCAGGAGCCACAACATCAGGGAGGCTGTCTCATCTGTGCTGACCCTCCCCCTGGACCTGACAGGATGCCTTTTTTAGTGATGGGTCTTTCTTGATGACGTGATTCACACTGTCACGTCTAAGATGCAAAGAAAGTGACACTGTCGACGAATTCTTTCGTTTGATATGGGTCCACAATACCCCAGGAAGCAGTAGTCAAGAAAGTCAATGATATACTGAGCTGGGCAAAATCACAAGAAGAAAAACGCTAAGACGCTTCGAGCGACTAGAAAAGCGCCAGCAGCTGCTGCCTATGAGGGAAAGGAAGATGAAAGCGAGGGGTTGTCGGTAACCCAGCACTGTGGTAATATCACAAGATGGCTTTAAAAGAACTATATTCCTTCCCAAGTTAAAGAGGCTACATGTTCAAACTCGGGGTGCTAGCTCCAGGGGAAAGCTATCTGTTGGTTCACAGGTTAGAGGGAAGATCCTTGACTCCTTGGTCCACCCACAGGCCCAGCATTCCCTGGAGAGTTCGTTCCAGGAGGCTCCCAGCACAGGGACCTGGGTCTAAGGGAAAGAAAGGTGCACTTCTGGCACATTTCTGGCGGTACTGAGGCTCCCCTATTTCTGCTGCTTCTCTCTTTGTCTCTCAGATAAAATTGCTGCAGTCCACTCCCCAGAGAAATACCCCTTCCGTCTTAGCAGGGCTGGGACAGGAATAAGAGTATTATTTCATCCTAACAGAATCTTGCTGAAGATTGCTTGTAAGGATGGGCTCAAGTGTGCTGGAGATGAGGTGGCGCAAGATAGAGCAGGGTTCCGATCTGCTGTCATAGGATAGGTAAGAGACGCAGGTGACTCACAGCACAGTGTCATCCTAACCTTAACCCTCTTACAAATGGCTGGCTTATCAGATCATGAGGGGGACCATTACGTAAGTGCTGTATTACATCACTGCACAACAGCCAAACCACCAAGAATCATGGCCAGGAACACCACATATCTTTTGGAGGAAGCAAGTCAACCACTTTCAAGGGTACAAAGAGCAACAGTGTGGGTACGCTTCTGAGTGAGAAAGGTTGCTGGGACAGGCAAAGGGTGACCAGGAGGACATCCAGCATCCAGTTCCTGGGATGGCTCTGCACAGATGTCAGTTAAAAAGCAGCTTCTTAAAGTGCCGACTTGAGGCCCTCCCTCTCATAGAGAAGGGAAGAGTGCTTATTGACAAAAGGCAACTTACAATGTGATTTTTTTTAAATGTACTGGTTTGCTACAGTAACTTGTTTATGTTGTGTTTTCATGTACTTTTTTTTCACTTCTCCTTCCACCCACCAAATTCTGCGACCCTGTGATTTGCCCCCTCCCCACCCTCTCAGTTCACCTGCCCTCTCACCTTCCTTCTCTCCATATCCATACACATCTTCCTGGTTGTCCTTCTATTTTAACAATAACAATCGTATGCAGTATCCGTTCTTGTGTGCTTGAGTTAGTTCACTCAGCATAATGCCCTCTAACTCTCCCACGTTATTCAGCATTTTTCTTAATCCCTAAGTGCTGCATAGTATTCCACAATTTCCCAATCTAGTCGTTTGCTGACAGACATCTGGGCTGTTTCTATATTTTTGCTATTGTGAATAATGCTGCTATGAACATCGGCGTACAAATCTCCGTTGTAGCCTCAGTTCTGTTTTCCTTGGTGTATATTCTTAGCAGTGAGTGGAATACCTCAATCATACGGATTCTCTGTGTTCAGCTAGCTTTCTGAGGAAACACAAACTGCCATCCAGAATGGTTATACCTTTTTACAATCCCACTAACAGTGTATGCGAGTTTCCACCTCTCCACATCCTCTCCAAACATTTATTTCCCTTTTTAAACTTTGCCACTGCTACTGGGGTCACAGGCCTGCTCTTCAGCCTCTGGAAGAAGATTGGTATCACTACCTTGAATTGTTCTGCTAACTGCTCTCTGGAAATACTATAAAAAGTGTTGTGCAGTTCCAGTTGTTGCCAAATCTGTTCATCATCAACACTGTTGATCACCAGTTTTTTAAAAGGACTCCCACGCATAGTGCCACCTTGGAGTATTTTATATGAAAGTAATTAAAGTATTTTCATTAAAGAGGCAAAGTGTGATGTCAATCCATCTTGGATCCTGACACCGCTCCAGGGCGCTGATCGGCCAGGCCCAAAGCACCATGGTTACGGGCAGCTCCCAAGTCTCCGTGTGGGCAGGGAGAAGCTAAGCCTCTTTTCAGCTTTTGAGGGTGTAAAACTTTACAGGAGGAGACCACCCAATCTTGCTCCCAAGGAACAGCTGGAGGATTCAAACTGTCACCCTTATGATCAGCAGCCCTGATTGTGTGGTACATTATGTATACCCCCAACTAGCTCCTGCTGGTTCTCCGCAGCCTCTGTGTGTGTGCCTGGCCCCAAGCTGTGCACTGTCCAAGCATCTGCTTCTCTAGCACTCAGCAGAATGGTCACCTCCCCCACCCCTCAACCCCAGTGATAACACGGTGAGGCAGAGACATGACCCAATTACCACTGGTGGCCATGGTGTAAAATACCACCATCCCGGCCAAGTTCGTGTCCTAGAAGGCATATCTGAGAAGATAGCCCACGCACATCCCTGATCTCCACTGTACAGACAGGAATACTGACTCCGAGAGGTCAGCACACCTGCCCAGAGACAGTGCAGGTGGCAGGTGGTAAAGTGAGGGTGTGAGTGGCTCTGACTCTCACATGCTCCCAGGGAGGAGTATCAATCCCAAACACCACCCAACCCAAAGGGACCCGGCAGGTGGCCCTGGGCCAGCCCCTCTGCAGAGTGCACTCGATTTGTAGACTGAAGAAATTATTGCTGCGTGGGGGTTTTTCCCTCCATTCTTGCCTTTTCTTTTTTAAGATATAATTTTTTTTAACTGGCTTGCTTACAAAGTTTCTATACATTGTGTTTCACACTATGTTTTAACTGTAGCGTGGGTGACCGTTTACAGAGCAAATGCTTGCAGTGGAACCACACTCTTCCCACTTCCTCCAGGCCTAGCCCTGGGTGCCTTATCTATTCTTATCTGTAAGAAGGAACCAGAGTACAGAGAAACAGGCTGTGACCTGGGGAAGGATCCCTGGCCATCTCCACCAAATGAGAAAGCCACAGTTGCCTCCTTTCTTAAATATTTATGGCATCTGGCCCCTAAGGGGCCATTCTACCCTGCCATTACAGGGTGGCTGAGTCAGGATTAATCTGATGTCAAATAGTTTCAAATGTTGTGGTCACTACCCTTTAACTAGAAGAATGAGAAAATAGCCGAGAATCACAGCCAGGGTTCCATCATGTCTACCAAGGCAAAAATCAATGCCTTCCTGATCAATACAGGCACGGAAGAGAGCAAGTGGGCCCTTCTCAGAACACAGCATCTGCTGGTAAACCCCAAAGTCTGCGTGCAGAGCTACAAATCAAATCCTCTCAATGTTTAAGAAACCTTAATTATCTATCCCCTACTTGGGTCAAATGGAAGAGTTCAGACAAAAAATGCCCAGAAAACAGAAGTGTGATCCCACCTCCCACGTTTTATTCTATTTACTTCTGATTACACACACACACTCTCTCCCTCCCCCGACCCTCCCCCTCCTATCTAAGAAAAAGAAAATGGCTAGTTTCCCTTCTCTTCTCTCTCCTCCTCCTCTGTGCAAGGGCTCCTCTGACCTCTCGTTATCCTTTCACATGTGTGTCTTCATGGATAGTACACAAAAGTCTTTTTATTTGATGCACTGATCTGAATTACAGAGTTTTTGGCAATGTGCTTTCTGCTACTCAATCTGCTGTTCGGAGATTTCTTAAAGGACTGTTTGCTGCTTAGTTGGAAGCGACCCCTAGCTGACACCCCTCAGTGGATTGAGGCCATAAATCAGAAGGGAGGAGCCTGACTGCCCATCCTTCTCCTAAAGGATTAAAGGACTACATAATGCAAACTACATCTTTTTCATATGGTGGAGCCCAGAACTAAAAGTTGCATCCCTTTTTATCCATAACCTTTGATAACTGTTTTCTAGCAACTTCAAAGCCAAAGCCATTACTAACTGCCAGAGTCGTATCCAATCCACGGTGACCTGGTTTAGTAAGAGTTGAACTAAGCTCCACAGGGTTTTGTTGCGGTTTGTTTTGTGGGGTTTTTTTGTCTGGTTTTGGCTTTTGGCGGTTTGGGTTTTTTTCCACTCTTATCTACAGAATCAGATTGATGGAAGCAGGATTGCTAGGGCTTCCTGTCACTGGATGG